AAGTAACTCGTTGTAGTCCCTACCAGCCGTTTTTGTAGGCATTAAACCGCCAGAATTTTAAAAGACGATATCTCTCGTTTGCATTGAACTTTCAGCTTCGTAACTTTGCAGATATTGTTTATGCTCAAACAGCAACATTACACACTAACTAACGTTAAAAAAGTGAAATCGCAATCAACCACCCCTTTAAGATAAATTGCTTGTTGTATTTTTCATTTTGCGTCATTTGTAAGTTGCTTTGGATAAAAATGTCTGCTAAATGAATAAATTTAATCAAATACGCATTGAGGTAGACTGACATACTTTGTAATTTTTTAAATATAATTTTTTTGGCCCATTCAAGTTTTAATCCCAGCAAACCTAAATACTACATTTTAGTAATAGTAAGTTATTTTAATATATTGAAAGTAATATTGATTATTTTTATTAGTAGTATTCAACATGGTTAGGCAATAGTAGTCTAATATATTTCTTCTGTAAATTATTTTACAGTAGAACAGCATATATATGGTGTAGTAGGTTTGCTTTAAGTTGTAGTTTGTGCCTTGTTTATATTGAGAATTGTTAAAACAGTCTTCTAAAACAATGTACATAGTGCCATGTTATGACATACAACTTGGAAGCCAGTAAATGAATGGTTTTATCATTTCATAGTAATTATGCTGGTATAACCTGAGTAGTACCACATTCCTTTGAGACCTTTGATACAGCAGTATATGTCATTTACATTCATGCTGCGGTTTTTAATTAATTGTACAAATTACTTGTACAGATCTTCATTCTTTCACTTCTTGTCAGCTGATAAATCAAGCCAAGCTGTTTATTCTGTAACAATTCAGGCTGTTGCATGTTTTGTCACAGTAATTCTTGAAAACCTAAAAAAAATTAATGTGTTCAGTGATTTAATGGAACTTGTCCTGAATGCGCTTAATTTTATATTTATTTTATTTTCTCCACAGGGTAAGCCGTATGTGTTTGACAGAGTTTTCCAGTCCAATACTTCTCAGGAGCAAGTGTACACAGCCTGCGCTCAACAAATCGTCAAAGGTAAAAGCAAAAAGGTCATTTGATAGACCTCTGAATCAAAGCAAAAAGCAGAACATGGAATAAGTTTTAAGCATGATCATGTTCTCACAGATGTACTTGGTGGCTATAATGGAACCATTTTCGCCTATGGTCAGACATCCTCTGGCAAAACGCACACAATGGAGGTGAGCGAGAAATACAGTTGACATCTCTGCTGAGGTGAAAATTAAAAGTCATAATTTCTGTGCAAAACACTTTTATCATAATAGTTTAGATTATATTTAGTGCTGGGCGGTATACCAGTTCATACCGAATACCGGTGTTTATTTTTGTTATGATATGAATTTTTTAAATACCGAATATACGTATATTCATACGTATGTCGCTTAAACAACATTCGGAACACGACACTGTTTGAAAGGGGTCCCTTTTCACTGTGGTGAGGGAACAGCTGTATGTGTTACTAAGCGTGAAAGTTCCGAAACTGAAGCTGTAGAACTAATAGAACGTGATGACACAGAAGAACTCATCCACAATATCCACATTGACTGCCACAAATATCCACCGCCCCCTGCCATCAGCTCCCGCGTCTCACACACACGAGCGCGCATAGCCGCTCTTTAGTGTAGATGCATGTTGATTTTATCAGACGATGCCGCGATTATAAATGAGAGTGACTCCTGGTTAACATGTATTAAAAGGGGTCATGTTTAGTCACTATTTAGTGTGGTATTTTTTGACAATATTCACTCATCATGAAAGTAAAATAGGGCATTCTAAGTCAATATACTGCAGTATTTCCTCTCTCAATCAGTAGAAAATATGGTTAACACCCGGTCATGCATGAAAAAAAAATACCGTCATGTACCTTGAAACCGGTATAATTTTGAAAATTACCGTGATACCAATTTTTGGTCATACCGCCTAGCACTAATTATATTTCATAATCACATGTAAATATGAATATTTTCCCCATACCTTATGTGTGGAAGATCTATTAGGTTCATGTGTCATATATACTTTCATTTTTAGGGTTGTTTTTGAGTGTATAGCAGCTTGTGCAACTTGTTAATTAGTTGTATTGGATTTGTGTGATAGTCAACTGGCTTTATTCATAATAAAGTCAAGTTCATTTATATGGTACATTTATACAATACAAATGACATAAAAGCAGCTTTACTTTGAAAACATGCTTGATTGAGGCTTAAGGTGTTCAGTATACAAATGTTTAGGGTCAGATTTCTTTTTAATTGATATATTTAAGCAAGGAAACATTAAAGTGACCGTAAAGTCATTATATAATATTCCAAAACAATTCTTTGTTTTGCTGTTCTTCATGCTATTCTTTAAATGTTCTATTCAATAGGGCATTCTAAGTCAATATACTGCAGTATTTCCTCTCTCAATCAGTAGAAAATATGGTTAACACCCGGTCATGCATGAAAAAAAAATACCGTCATGTACCTTGAAACCGGTATAATTTTGAAAATTACCGTGATACCAATTTTTGGTCATACCGCCTAGCACTAATTATATTTCATAATCACATGTAAATATGAATATTTTCCCCATACCTTATGTGTGGAAGATCTATTAGGTTCATGTGTCATATATACTTTCATTTTTAGGGTTGTTTTTGAGTGTATAGCAGCTTGTGCAACTTGTTAATTAGTTGTATTGGATTTGTGTGATAGTCAACTGGCTTTATTCATAATAAAGTCAAGTTCATTTATATGGTACATTTATATAATACAAATGACATAAAAGCAGCTTTACTTTGAAAACACGCTTGATTGTGGCTTAAGGTGTTCAGTATACAAATGTTTAGGGTCAGATTTCTTTTTAATTGATATATTTAAGCAAGGAAACATTAAAGTGACCGTAAAGTCATTATATAATATTCCAAAACAATTCTTTGTTTTGCTGTTCTTCATGCTATTCTTTAAATGTTCTATTCATCAAAGAATCCTGAAAAAAGCACCAAATCAACATATTAGAATGATTTCTTAAGCATCATGTGACACTGAAGACTGGAGTAGTGTACAGTATTACAATTTTTAACTGTATTTTTGATCAAATAAATGCAGCCTTGGTGAGCATAAGACTCTTTCAGAATCATAATAAATTTTACTGACCAAGCTCTTAAGCCGTAGTGTGAGCAATATAATGGAGCAAACAGGTGTCTTTACACAATGTTTACTCTACTTTTATGAATGAGGTATTGTGGTTGTTCTTTAGGGAAATCTCCATGACACAGATGGAATGGGAATCATTCCCAGAATAGTGCAAGACATCTTTAACTACATTTACTCTATGGATGAAAACCTGGAGTTCCACATTAAAGTAAGTCTTTGCCTTTGCACACGATTTTATTAGCAGCCTTTCTTCTTATTCTTTAAAAGCTTGACATATTGCTTCATATTTGTATCTGCTCTCTTGATTGTGTTTTTACTTATTTTCAGGTGTCATATTTTGAGATTTATCTGGATAAGATTCGGGACCTGTTGGATGGTGAGTGTGGTGGCTGTTTTAAGCCTCACGTCTGCTAGCCAGCCACTTCATCTTAAAAGCATTTCTAATGATGTTCAGATCATCTAAAACTCAATAGTACAGCAATTATAATGCTGCTTTTGTTGTGACATAATGTTTCTCTTTCTATCTCTCTCTCTTGTTGTCTTGTAGTTTCAAAGACTAATTTATCTGTACATGAAGACAAAAACAGGGTTCCTTATGTCAAGGTGAGTTCATGAAACCTGATGTCCCATCACTGTCATCAGTGTCCCATTAAAATCCTTACACAAAGTGGTAATTACCGCTGATCTTTAAAGAATGTAAGTTGTTTATTATTGTGTGTCTTTCTGGTTTTAGGGCTGCACTGAGCGATTTGTTTCCAGTCCAGAGGAAGTGATGGACACTATTGACGAGGGCAAATCCAACAGACATGTAGCTGTGACAAGTATGAATGCTTTCAGAATAAATATTTTCAATAAAGAGAATAAAATATAATTATCTTTCCATAAACCGAGACTAAACCATATCTTACCAGGAAACTCTAACATCTGCATCCTTCATTTGAGCTGATGCTTGTAAACAATGCTATGTGGGTTTAGTTGTAATAATGTCTTTGTTTTTGAGTGTATAGCAGCTTGTGCAACTTGTTAATTAGTTGTATTGGATTTGTGTGATAGTCAACTGGCTTTATTCATAATAAAGTCAAGTTCATTTATATGGTACATTTATACAATACAAATGACATAAAAGCAGCTTTACTTTGAAAACATGCTTGATTGAGGCTTAAGGTGTTCAGTATACAAATGTTTAGGGTCAGATTTCTTTTTAATTGATATATTTAAGCAAGGAAACATTAAAGTGACCGTAAAGTCATTATATAATATTCCAAAACAATTCTTTGTTTTGCTGTTCTTCATGCTATTCTTTAAATGTTCTATTCATCAAAGAATCCTGAAAAAAGCACCAAATCAACATATTAGAATGATTTCTTAAGCATCATGTGACACTGAAGACTGGAGTAGTGTACAGTATTACAATTTTTAACTGTATTTTTGATCAAATAAATGCAGCCTTGGTGAGATTTGAGCTGATGCTTGTAAACAATGTTATGTGGGTTTAGTGTTAATAATGTCTTTGTGTGTGTGTCAGACATGAATGAACACAGCTCCAGGAGTCACAGTATCTTCCTGATCAATGTGAAGCAGGAGAACACACAGACAGAACAGAAGCTCAGCGGGAAACTCTACCTAGTCGACTTGGCAGGCAGTGAGAAGGTGTGTGTGTGTCAAACTTTTGACTTGTAGTAGGGGTTGAACGACTTCAGATTTTTTCAAGTTGACATTTATGTGATGAAAGTCGAGTCGACGCCGACTAGTCGCTGATCACGTCATTAATGAACAAATAAGCCTGAACATTGGGCTGAGACTCGAACACCTTATGCACAGCTATCCTATGGCATATGACGCAGCGCTGCCCACATAACTATTGCTCCTATAACAGCTCAGTTTTAGCAGTTTTTTTTGTCTTTGGGTCGTTATATTTCTCACAGATTTCTGCTCGTTCTAAATCAGATACAGATAAAGTAGCACAGTAAAGATTACATTTATACAGTGCTTGAAGTGGGCCGGTAGTCTTTAGCGTCCTGGCACTTTTTCATGCATACTGGCACTTCTGACATGTTGCTGGTACTCAGAGTCAAAGCGTCAGTGTCTGGGTGATTCGAAATGACACTATATAAATCACACTACCCAGGACGTGGTACCATGAATCACGTGAATGAATGCAAGCGGAGTCGGTCTACCTCAGGGGTTTTCAATGTGTGGGGCGCGAGAGAATGTCAGGGTAGTAGAATAATAAATAATTATTGATTACTCATTTGAATCAGTACATTAAAAAAATATTGATGTTTTGAGCAGCTGCATTCCTCTAGGTCAAAGATGAAAAAATGGGATTTACAATAAAAAGTAATTTACAAAATTATTTTGACGAGTTTATTTATTAATGAGTAACATATCTTTTGAGTGAATGTGCACATTTGTAATTTTATCAGCTTTTACCATGTTATTACAACATTTAACCACTTTTTATTAATTTAAAAATTGAGAAATTCTTTCAAATTTAAACCTTGTACAAGAACTACAGCAAAAATCAGTTTGATGCATATTTTATCAATATTTTTTAAATTTAATTTGAATATTACCAGTACTGACTTCAATGGATTTCATTAAATTCCTTTGAACACGACTGCTCAAAACAGTCTAAATTTATGAAACCTACACATTCAAAACATTATTACTCTGAAATTTTTAATGTAAATGTTAAGTGTAAGTGGTGAAATGTTTACTGTAACAGGTCTTTCATGATGCTACATATGCTGGGGTGTGAATTTGATAGGTGCTTGATATAAAATAAATGGTGCTTGAAAAAATCCTTGAAAGTCCTTGAATCTGGTGTTCATGAAAGAGTGGGAACCCTGTCTATGCCCTGCCTTTCTAAAATGCGTTGATTTTTACAAAGCTCATCGTTCTGAAAAGCAAGGTGTGCTCTGATTGGCCAGCTATCCAGTGCGTTGTGATTGGCTGAATCCCTCAAGCATGTGACGGAAATTTTACACCCCTTACCATACTGTGATTCCCTGTGTCCCG